GGGGGGGGGGGGGGTGGCAGCGGCACCTCTCTCTGTCGTTCTCAGAAGAGAGCGTACAGAAAAATGTAGGACTTGCATCCGGGCGGGTTTGTAGCAGCAATGTTATTGGCGTTGCGTACAGCAGGCATTTTCCCACTGGGTTGTATTATTTTGGGTAGTGGCGGGTGCGCAAGCTGGCTAGGGCGGCAGGCTCGCCGGGCACCGCGCGCTCAGGGTTAATGATATGATCGGATGGTCGTAGACGGCGTTGTTGTACGGCACTTTGCGATGCGGGAGAGGTGGGCGAGAGGGTACAAACGCTGTGGAAAGGGTAGAGAACCGGTGCGAGCGAGCTTCGATTACAATGGTTGGATTGAGGCCGCGAGTGCCACGTGAGTGAGTGGAACCCGGCTAGAGTCTCCGGTTGTGCTCTCTGCGTGGCAGGGATTATGTTTTGGCGCGGGCACCACCGGCAAGGAGCGACACGAGGATGGGGGTGCAGGAGAAGGAGTTGAACCGGAAGATTAAGCGTTGGGTTGGGAGAAGTAATAAAAAAGAGGATCGCGACCGCAGAATATACAAGAGCGGTCGCGGATGGCGAGAGTGTTACATCCCAACAATGATCAGCTACGGTCGGCGGCCGCAAAATGCACTTTGTTGCGTCTATCATTTTATTGTCTCATCTATTGTGGACATCTGGAGGTCTCCGTCTACACCCTTCTGCGGATGACCCTATGCATACTCACAGTTAAAACAGTCGGGGCTTGACAAGGAAGGTGTCCGCCTACAACTTTTTGTGGTCACGGTTCTTGTGTCACCAAAAAGATGTTGTCCCCGTCGGCCTTTCGCGCATGCGAGGTCTCTCACTTACTACGCTTCTCTCATATCGCCAGAGAACAGAGAGTCAATCGCGTTTTCAATCCGAATCGAGGGAGAGTAGACGACGTGATGGACGCCATGCATCACATCTGACGTGGGGGCATGTACACGCAGGGCGCGCGTTACAGCAGTAGAACTACCACTCGTTTTCGGTACTTCGAATAATTCTGTCCTTAATTCGTGTTGCCCATGTACACGTATCCAACTGTCCCCGTGACATCTCACAATAATCTACACATTCACGCGATTTCGCCTCGTCTCCAGTGAAACATTGCACACTTCAGTACGGGAAGGTCCGGGGCTAGGTGTCGACCGAGTACATCGTGAAAGAGTCGCTGCCGTCGAAGCTGACGTCTTCAAAGCTGGATTGGCGGTCTCTCGTCAGATCGTTCCTTATCAATGGTCTGGAATTGAGCCCTCCGACCCCTTCCCCGGGGCTTCCGATGAGTTTGTCGCCTCCGACGCGGGAGATGCGTTGGATTCTGGCCACCTCTGCCGCCGCTGACGCCTGGAGCATGATCCGCATGCCCTCGTCTTGGACGTTGCTGCCTTCCTCCCCAAACAACGTGTTCTCGCCCGCTGCCACCTCTGACAATACAAAAAATCACGGTAATCACGCGTCCAGTGAGGGGTGGGAGGGTCCTCGTGCTACATGGCCGAAAATGTTTGTCCGCGCGATCGTGGGTCGCATTCATTCGTGGTTTGTTTGAATACTTAAGACTATGCAATTACCCTGCTTTGCGCACACGCGATTTTCCCTTCGAAGCGCGGCCATACCTGGGTCGTGATCCGGCGCCTTCAATCCTGTGACTATGTAATAAGCTGGTGTTATGGCAGCTCAACCACGGGCTTCAGTCATTCAAAGCGTGGAAAGAATAGCGGGGGTAGAGGCATCTATGGTAACCGCGCTCGGTCCGGATGTACGACGTCCGTTGCTTCGAAGAAGGCGGGCGTACCATGTCTTCGCCAAAACTAAGCCGAGCTTGGCAAAGGTGTGGAGGAAGGCCTGTGATCCAGGCGGCTTCAGGCAATGAACAGCAACCAAAAGTTGTACTGTAGACAATGTTGGAGGTCGCATCATCACCCGCTCACCCTTCAATGCACGCATCGCGGCGATGGTCAACGGCGCTTGCTTGAACTTCACCAGGAGGTTCTCCGCGAGCATCTGATGTGTAAGGTGGTGTTGGAGAGTCCGACGAGGATCCACGACGAGCCAACGACAAGGCACCGCGCGTGATGTGTTGTGTTCTCGCGGACCTTTTGGTCTACAATATAGAAAGCGCCCGCAGTTAAGAACCTCCGAGGCTGGGGTTCTTACTATATTTCTAGGGTGATGCTACGGATGGCCTCTCTTTAGCCTTTCTTCTAGGGATTCTTGGCTGAGCCCGCAATTTTATGGTGCTCAAGTTCTTAGATTTTTGAGCTTTTTTAGGTTCGATTTCCCAACTGCCATGTTCTTAAGTGCGGTCGCTTTCTGTAGAGTAGTGGACGCAAATTCTTTGTATTCGGTGCACACCAAAGGCAATGCTTGCGTGTTTCAGTTTCGTTTTATTTGTCGAAACTAGAGGTAAGGTGGGCATCAATTTGGACCGATGCGAGCGGAAAAGCTCGGGATGGCTGCCGCCGCTATGAACACCTCTGAGGTTCTCGTTGGACAATCATCCAACTCCTCGAATGGGGTCGCGGTCTTTCTCACGACCTCGAGTTCTCCAACACGGTTGAGTTAATGTGTTCGACAACCGTGGTTGCAGCACATTTTCGAAGAGGTGGGGGGGG